CATCCTACATATTTGGAGGGACATCCAGTAGCATATTTTGGGCTGAGACGTCTGCAGGATAGGACTGAATTAGCCATGATGTGGGGCAGAGCTGGCAGGGGCTTCTGCAAAGACCGATCCCACTCCAACAGTGGAGATGCCATTCATTCACCCCCCACAGAACTTCCTTCAGTTGGCAGGCTAGGCTACAGGCTTGAATTAGGACCACAAGCAGGCCACCTGTGGCCACCGACAGATGCCTGGAGTTTCCGGAGCACCCAGAAGGTGGGAGGGAGAGACAGTGAGTGCAGTGAGTGGGCAGAAGATGTGAGATTAAGGTTACATACCGTCACGACACCATCACTGTAGTTTAGCTTCTCAGCCCATGGCTTAGGGGGACCAAGAGAATGAGCTTGGGAAGGTTGGGGGGTAGATAGAACCATCATGGAAGAGGGGCATCTTCTGTCCCCCCAAAGCCTCAGCACCCAGATGCTTAGACTGAAAGTCCTCCATGCCCAGCCAGTGGCTGACGTTCGAGGAGGCGGCCTCACCCTACGGGTTCAGAGGAAAGACATCCATGCTTTGTCAGCATGACAGGACCTGAGGGTAACCTGGATGCCGGGAACTTGGCAGGTAGAAGGACATGGCACGGTGGTGAGTGCCTGGACCCATACTAGCCTATCTGGGTTCCGATCCTGGCTTTGTTGCATGCTGGCTCTGAGACCTCGGAGGCTCCTTGAACTCCAGTTTCCTGGTCCCTAATCGGGGTAATAATCATGCCAATGTCAGAATGCACCAGCAGGACTAAGTGAATGAACCCTGCATTGTCAAAGAAGGCAACTGCTAACCACTTACAGTAGTTTGCTGTGATTGCCGTAACAAAGTACCCAAAACCAAGTAGCTTACACAACAAAATGTATTCTCTCCCAGTTCTGGACACGAGAAGTCCAAAATCCAAGTGTCAGCTGGCTTGGTGCTTTCCATGGGAGGAGAATCTGTTCCCTGTCTCTCCTCTGGCTTCTGATGGGTTCCCGACAGTCTTTGGCATTTCTTCGCTCGTGGAAGCATCACCTCCATCTCTGTCCTCACAGGGTACTCTCCCTGTGGGCATGTCTGTATCTGAATGTCCCCTCTTCATAAGGACACCAGTCATTTTGGAATAGGGGCCCACCATTCTCTTGTAGGACTTCATCCGAATTAATTACATCTGCAATGACCCTATTTCCAAGCAAGGTCACCTTCTGAGATACTGGGGATTAGGGCTTCAACATATGAATTTGGGAGGGGACACAATCCAACCCAAAATATGACATGTGGCTCATTGAGCATTTGAAATGTGGCTGGTTGGAATTGAAATGAAAGACTGCATACTGGGCTGAAATGCTAAATACACACTTGGTTTCAAAGACTTAGTACAGGGGTGTCTGGGTGGCTCAGTTGGTTGAATATCTGCCTTTGGCTCAGGTCATGATCCCAGGGTCCTGGGATCGAGTTCTGCATTGGGCTCCCTGCTCGGAGGGGAGTCTGCTTCTCCCTCTGCCTGCCACTCTCCCTGCCTGTGCTCTCTCTCTCTGACAAATAAATAAAATCTTAAAAAAAAAAACCACACACACACAAAGATTTAGTACAAAAAAAGAATGCAATATATCTCACTGTTAATTTTTAATGAGATAATTAATTTATCTCATTTATTAATCATATCGATTATGTTTCAAGATGATAATATTTTGAATACCCTGTGTTAAATAAGGCATAATTAGAATTAGATTTTTAAAAAGGTGGGTGCTAGAGAATTTAGAGTTACCTATGTGGCTTCCATTGTTTATCTCTTGGACGTACTAAACTAATACTTACAAAGCCCTTAGAACAGGGCCTGGCCCATGGAAAATACTGGCAAGCCCTTGATAAACAAAGCCTTCTCTTAGGAGGTGACTCCTTACTTGTGGCATTTTAAAAATATGACTTTTCCCACTTCTCAGAGCTGGGAAAAGCTGGGAGCACATTTCTTACCCGACTCTTCTTTTATTGTATGGATTTCATTTTATAATCTGGAAGCATATGGCATATATAATATGGTCTCGTCTTTTCCAAATTGTTTCGTGGTATTTTTTTACATGTGGTTATAAACTCTTCATCAACCACATTAAGCACTGTGGCTTCCTAAAAAATTGTTTCCAATTTTCCTATTAACAATGCACACCTCAATTTTAAGCTGAAAATCCTTTCTGGTAGTTAGGATTAAAAAAGAGAGATTTAGGGGCACCTGGGTGGTTCAGTGGGTTAAAGCCTCTGCCTTCGGCTCAGGTCATGATTCTGGGGTCCTGGGATCGAGCCCTGCATCAGGCTCTCTGCTCTGAGCCTACTTCCTCCTGTTTCTCTGCCTGCCTCTCTGCCTACTTATGATCTCTGTCTGTCAAATAAATAAATAAAATCTTTAAAAAAAAAGAGAGAGAGAGATTTATTTATTTTAGAGAGAGAGTGTTCGGGCGGGGAGGGGGGAGGGGGGCGGTGGTCAGAGAAGGAGGAAGAGGCAGAGGGAGAGTCCCAAGGAGTTTCTGAGCTATGCAGAAGCCCAACTTGGGGCTCGATCTTGTGACTTTGAGATCATGACCTAGCTGAAACCAAGAGCCATTCGCTTAACGGCCTGAGCCACCCAGGCACCGCTGTTAGTTAGCAATTTTATTGGACAAAGTGATAAAATATTGAAGGATCCTAATGCACTTTGTCAGGTAGTTTCCGAGAAAAGCTGCACCACTTTCCAGTCCAGCCACAATGTATAAATGTCTCCATTTCACCAACTTCTACCTTTATCATAGTATTATTTTAAAAGTTGTGTGTGGAAAAAAAAAAAAGGTTGTGCGTGTATGTGCATTTGTGTGTGAGCCTTATCTGGTTCGTTCTGTTTCTGTTTTGTTGCTGATTTGGCTGAGGCGGGGGCGGGGGTGGTGGAGTATCTTATTGATTGTATCCCCATTTCTATGATGACCTGGGGGGTTAGCATTTATCCACTAGATTATTTCCCCTGGGCATTTCCCCTTCTGATAATTAGTGTTTTGAGTCCTTTGTCCATTTCTTAGTGCCTTAGTATTTTCCTTATTAGTTTACATGTATTCTTTATAAAGATATCGATTTCGTACATTTTATTTTTTACAAATTCTCATTAGCAACTGCTGACTTAATTGTGTGTCTTGCTTAACAGATTTTTGTATTTTTATGTAGTCAAATCAATTGATTGTCCCCTTTGTGATTTCTGTCACTGCTTTCAAGCAAAGGCATGCCCTTCCAGAGACATGGTGTCTGTTTCACTTTCTTTTAGCTTTTTACACTTTTTCTTTTTTTAAAGATTTTATTTATTTATTTGACAGAGAGAGAGAGAGAGAGAGAGATCACAAGTAGGCAGAGAGGGGGGGAAGCAGGATCCCTGCTGAGCAGAGAGCCCAATCCCAGGACCCTGAGACCATGACCTGAGATGAAGGCACAGGCTTAACCCACTGAGCCACCCAGGCACCCCATACACTTTTTCTTAAATTAAGATTTTAAATCCCTCTAGAACAGTGCTGTCCAAATCTTTTCTTTTGTTTGTTTTAAGATTTTATTTATTTACTTGAGAGTGAGCCAGAGAGCAGGAGCGGTGGGGAGGGTCAGAGTGAGAGGGAGAAGCAGGCTCCCTACTGAGCAGGGAGCCTGATATGGCACTTGATCCCATGATCCTGAGATCATGACCTGAGTCGAAGGCAGTCGCTTAACAGACTAAGCCACCCAGGCGCTCCAAAATCTTAAAAAAATAAATAAATAAAATTAAACAATTCTAAAGTATATATTTAAAAAAGAAACAGATGAAATCAATTTGAATAGTTTTTATGAATTTATTTATTTATCCCAATATATCTTATTTATCCCAATATATCAAAAAAATCCTGCAACATGTAATCAATATAAGAAATTAATTAATTAACAAAGTATTTCATTTGGGGGGTATCATGTCTTTGAAATTTGGCATGTAAGAGCCCATCTCTGTTTGCACTAGTGACAAGCCGCAGTCCCAATACTTAACAGCCACAAGTGGCTCGTGGCCACCAGATTGGTCCGCACAGGTCTGGAATTTGGTTCAACCCAGAGGGAGGGGCAGAGGGGGAAGTGTTCTGATGGCCTGATTTATCTCCCCCTGCACCTTCAACTTCCACCTGCTCCTCTTGACAATTCCTGCCTGGCCAACCCGTGTTTTTCTCACCTTTCTCAGTGACCTCTACCTGGTTCCTGGATGCCATGTGGCCACCTGTGTCAGTGACCCACCACCAGTGGCCTCCTGACTCCACCCAGGGCTTCCAGCAACTATAGCCACCTGCCTTTGGGCTAGAGATCCTACCCAGGGGCTCACCAGCGGGCCATCCCAGAATTTCCACCTCTGCAGCTCCCTGCTCTGGAGAAAGAATCAATAATAATAGTAATTATAAAACAGTATTCCTAACATTGCATACTGACTGGGTGTGGAATGCCAGACTAATCCGTGGCAGATCTTCTTACATAATCCTCCTGACCGTCTTGGGACTGGAACCATTTTGCCCATAAAGGCTCCTATCAGTCAGTGAGCACAGAAGGGGGGGTGGGCGGTGTGCACGGCACAGCCTACAGTCAAGACCAGGGGAGGGAGGTTGGGGTCCCATGGGCCGAAACTCCTGAGGATCACCTAGAGGGTTGAGACAGGTTTATGAAAAGTTCCTCCATTTTGCTGGGAAAGAGGATCTAGGTGTGTTCCCCACAACTTGTCCACATCTCCTTTATGACCCCCTCCCGTCCCCTGCCTCGAAGGAACCTGTAGGATTCCCTGGGATGAGGATGCTTGCAGATAGCAGCGTCTGCTGTCCTCCCCTCGAGTGAGCGTTCCGGGACCCCTCGGGGGCGGGTCACCTCGCTGCGCGCTGTAGGGTGCGTCCTAGCCACCGCCCGCACACCCGGAGCTGAAGCGAGAACCAGAGGGGCGGGGCAGGGCTGGCGCTCTCCCGTTGGGGCGGGACCAACATCTGCTCGCCGGACGAAACCAGGCAGCTGCAGCGAGGCCAGGCGGCGGGCAGGCAGACTCCTGGCACACCTACGCCCCTCGACCCCTGAGCCCGCTGGGCACCATGAGCGGCCGAGTCGGGGACCTGAGCCCCCAGCAGCAGGAGGCGCTGGCCAGGGTGAGGGGGCTTCACGGGTGGGAGGCTTGGGGAGGAAGGAGCTGCTGGACGCTGCCCACCCGGGGTGGAGCCCCCCTTGTTTAGATGGAAAAGGGACCCTTCAGGGCATCTTTGGGTCCAGCTCACCGTGCCCCTGGGCACAGTGGCTGAGGCAGACATATAGGGGACAAGGGACTTGAGCACTTCTCCAGGCTACACTGGGGCTGAATCCAGCTTTCCACTCCTGACCCCTCCAGACCACAGAGTCTTGGCCCTTGTCCCCTGGTTGTGGGGGTAGGGTGGTGCTGCCATCCCTCTAGGCAGCCTTGGGCAGACAGACCAGCAGGTCTCCTGCTCTGATTGTGACATTTGTTTGTTTGGCTTCTCTTTGTGGTTTTTGGACTCCCCGGGGCCCAAGCCTTCTCCCTGTTGTCAGTGTTTCTGTTAAAGGGGAATGGAGGGGGTTTGGTGACACTCCTTCCAGCTGCAGCTGAGAGTGTCATGCCCTGGGGAAAGGAGAGCATATTCTGGTCTCAGGGGCCATAGCATTAATTTGATTTGGAGATGGCTGGGCCTGGAAATTGTGACTTAAGGCTAGCGGAGGGAGGTGACGGCCCTGGCTCACACTTTGGGCCCATGAAGGGCAGGCTTCGGGCTTGTGGAGAATGGTTTCTTTTGTGGCTCCTACCTGGGAAGGGTACTCTAGGAGAAGTGAGGACCCCCGATGAAGGAGGGGGACCCTGGATCAATTTTTAGTGAAGGAGAGAAGGGTCCAGGTGAAGAGTGAGGGGCCCTGGGTGAATTCCCAAGTAAAGGAGGAGTTTCCAGGAGCAGTGGGTCCTGAGCTGAAGGAGGAGTCCCCAAGTGAAGGAGGAGAGGGAGTCCCCTGTTTAGCCCTCTCTCTACCCACTGCCAAAGGCCTCAGGGGAGCCCTGAATGCTAGGTTCATGGGAGGGACTAGATACCTGGCCTTTGGGGGTGAATTATGATGGAGATGCTTGTGGGTCAAAGAGCCTTAAACAATGTAAAAAGAGTTTATTATGATTTTTTCCCATTATTTAAAAGAAATGAATGCTAGTTGTTTTAAAAATTAGGGAGAAAGAAGAAAGTAGGAAAAAGAAGTCACCCATGGTCCCAGAGGTCTAGACAACCACTCCTAGGAGCATTTCCTTCTAGTTTTTTCCGAAGCCTAGTTTCACCACCTGTGGTCACGCTGCCAGAGGCTGCCTTCTCCATAAGGCATCATTGTTAAGATAGTTTTTCCTTTGGGGCACCTGGATGGCTCAGTGGGTTAAAGTCTCTGCCTTCGGCTTGGGTCATGGTCTCAGAGTCCTGGGATTGAGCCCCATGTCGGGCTCTCTGCTCGGTGGGGAGCCTGCTTCCTCCTCTCTCTCTGCCTGCCTGTCTGCCAACTTGTGATCTTCGTCTGTCAAATAAATAAATAAAATCTTTAAAAACAAAAACAAAAACAAAAACTATGAGATAATAAATATTAAAAAAAAAAAGATAGTTTTTCCTTCAAGTTACTCCAGACCCTTCCCAGCACCTGCTTGTGGCTTTCTGGTTTTTTTTTTCTTTTTTTTTTTAAGTTTTTAAATTTATTTGACAGAGAGAGACAGAGCGAGAGAGGGAACACAAGCTGGAGGAGTGGGAGAGGGAGAACCCGACTCCCCGCTGAGCAATGAACCTGATATGGGGCTGGATCCCAGGTCCCTGAGCCAAAGGCAGATGCTTAACAACCGAGCCACCCAGGCGCCCTGTGGCTTTCTGTTTTACCTGATGTGCGTTCCAAGGATGGGTGGCTTCGAGACTGGAAGATGTAGATTCCTCATGGCCTCGAAGCTTCCTCACTCTGTCCCTGGGAAGACCCTCCAACATCCCAGTCTCCGTTCCCTCCTCCAAGAAGCAGCGATGTGATGTGACTTTTTCTCCTCCTGCCTCAGGGCACATCCTGGCATTCAAAGGAGGGACTCTGGTAACCTGGAGGGGCTGAGGGGTGCAGAGTTATTGTTCCTCGGTTATTGTTATGTCCTCACTCTCCCTAAAAAACTTCCTCAGGAGCCCAGAGGCTACACCTGATCCATGTGCCTTGTGGGGACTGGGGACTCCGGGTGGTGATGAGAGCTGGTGCTCTTGCTCACATTACTTGTTAACACTGGAGATGTTTCATCTTATTATTTGTTTTTCATCATGTGAGCAATACATGAACACTTTCTTGTTTTTTTTTTAATTTTTAAAATTTGTTTTAAAAGATTTTATTTATTTATTTGACAGAGAAAGAGATTATAAATAGGCAGAGAGGCAGGCAGAGAGAGAGAGGGGGGAAGCAGGCTCCCCGCGGAGCAGAGAGCCCCATGCGGGGCTCGATCCCACGACCCTGGGATCATGACCCGAGCTAAAGGCAGATGTTCAACTGACCGAGCCACCCAGGCGCCCCCAAACATACTCTTATTTTAAACATGATCCATAAAGCTAAAGGAGGTTTGGTGGACGGCTGTCAAGATAGCTTCCTATGGCTTTGCTAGCATTGGCTTCTAATCCTAAAGTTCCAATCACAGGTTCCCCTGCAAAGCCACCCCTCCAGGGCTTGCCTTCAGCTCCCTTAGTTCCCATGAAAGTGAAGCCTCCTCTCTGTCCCAGACCTGAGCTCCAGTCCCATATGCAGATTTTAAACTCTGCCAGTAGGCAGAGGCTCCCATCAGCAGGTTAGTCCCTCTCTTTCCCCAGCCTCGATAGGACCTGATGAGGCATCCCCTGCTTCTCTTGCAGCTCCTCCCTCCTTACCTTTGCCTGGGGCTGTTTCCACAAAGACTCCACTGCCCAGAGCTCTGGGCAATCCACGTTTTGCCGAATGCCCACATTTTTCTGGCACCGGCTACAAGCCAGGACTGCCGCTAAGTGCTTTGCCTGTACACACTCCTACGATTGGTACAAGTTCATCTTTATCCCACTTCACAGATTAAGAAACTGAGGCTCAGAGTGGTTAAGTAACTTGCTTCCAGATCTAGACCCTCAAGATACAGTATCAAGGGCAAGGTTCCTAAATTCTTCTCATTTGCCTATATCCGATTCACCAGGGATCTTTGTCAAAATAGAGAAAGCAGGGCCCCACCTCAGTCCTGTAGAATGAGGATCTTGGGGAGAAAGAGAACCCCCAAAATTTGAGAAGGACCTAACTCTTCCTGCCATGGCGGGCTGAAGGGTGCTCCATTCCCGGGCGGTAGTCAGCAGCTGCCGCTAACTCTGTGGTCCCCACCCTGCAGAGTCCCTGGGTAGGACTGATTGACAGACTGAGTTCGGGAAGGTCATGGTGGGGTTGGGAGCCCAGGGGTCATGGGAGCCCCTTTGACCATTATATCTCCCCCCTCAGTTCCGGGACAACCTCCAGGACCTGCTGCCCACCCTGCCCAACGCTGATGAGTACTTTTTCCTGCGCTGGCTCCGAGGTGAGGCTGGCAGGACCGGGGATAGGGGTGGGCAAAGGGGAGAGAGGGAAGAAGGGGTTCAGGAAAGTGGGTGCAACTTTGGGAGACAGTGCTACCGAGTGGGAAACGTAGGCTCTGGAATCATCCTGCTTTGGGTAGAACCTGAGTTCCCCTCCAAATTGGCATGGCACAAAAACCCCATTGAGCCCCAGTTTCTTCATCTTTAAATGGGATGGGAACACCTCCCCAAGGATTGCTGTGAGCACTAAATGAGAGAGTGTAGCACCTGGCACTGGGTGGGCATATGGTCAAGGTGAGGTTAGAGTTCACACCTGGGAGGTTCTCAGGATGACGGGCCCAGCCGGGCCTGGAGTCAGATAGTCCCAAATGTACTCTTCAGGACTTGCCTGCAGGCCTATCTGCAGTTCCTTGAAGGGAGGGCTGTGTCGTCCCCTGAGGGAAATTGGCTGCTGAGCAGGTGCCCAGCAAACACTTCAGGAAGTGGGTGCGATTAAAAGTAGAGAAGGAGTTTCTTCCAGGAATTGCCACAGGAGTGTAAAATTAGAGAAACAGAAACCTAGGGGGAGAATTCATTTCAATTCAACACACCCCATGGAATGGATTCTGAACTTGAACCAGGATTCTGAACTTGAATCAGAAGGTTGAAATCAGGCTGGAAAGTACACACACAGTTAGGTGGTGATGCCAGCCTTGGAATTGGGCAAACCTGTGATTGAATCCCAACTCTGCTGTACTGGCAGCGGACTCATTGTCTCTCGGCCTTGCTTTTCTCTTCTGAGTAATGGGTATAATATTGGTCTCCCATCTTCCAGATGCTGTGAGTCAGACATGAGGTCATGGGCAAGCATAGCACCTACACCGAGGAAGCCCTCCCTTCTCTTCTGTTTGTTCTATTTGATTTTATTTTTAAATTATTTTAATTATTATTTTCTACAAACTTTATTTTTTAGAATGGCTTTAGGTTTACAGAGCATTGTGAAGGTAATACAGGAAGTCCCCACACATACTGCACCCATTTTCCCCTATCATGAACGTTTTCATTCCTATGGTACGTCTGTTACAATTCATGAACCAACGCTGATACATTATTATTAACTAAAATCCCTACTTTGTTCAGGTCACCTTAGTTCCTCTGTCCCAGGAGCATATCCAGGATGCCATGTTACATTTAGTTGTCATCTCCCTAGGCTCTCTTGGCTGTGGCAGGTTTTATTCTGTTTTTTTTTTTGTGTGTGTGTGTGTGTGTGTGTGTGTGTGTGTGTATGTGTTTTATTAAAGATTATTTATTTATTTATTTACTTGTCAGAGAGAGAGAGAGCGCATGCGCCAGCAGGGGGAACAGCAGGCAGAGGGAGGAGCAGGCTCCTCGCTGAGCAAGGAGCCCATATGGGACTCCATCCAGGACCCTGGGATCATGACCTGAGCTGAAGACAGATGCTTAACCAACTGAGCCACCCAGGTGTCCCTTCCATTATGCTTTAAAAAAAAAAAAAGATTTTTATTTATTTATTTGACAGACAGAGATCACAAGTAGGCAGAGAGACAGAGAGAAAGGGAAGCAGGTTTCCTGCTGAGCAGAGAGCCCGATGTGGGGCTCGATCCCAGGACCCTGGGACCATGACCCAAGCTGAAGGCAGAGGCTTAATCCACTGAGCCACCCAGGTGCCCCCCATTACGCTTTTAACAAGTCATGTCCATGTCATTCTCCTGGGCTAAAGAAGGAGTGAGGACAGTAGATTTCTTGAAGCCCCATCAGACCTCTCTCCTCCTTTGGAGTCTTTCTGGATTTAAAAACCAACTTTTCCAGTCCCTGGTGCATCATTGAGAAAGGAGTAAAGTCACAGACACTGTAGGCTGCTGGGTCATGGCAAAGGAGAAGGATCTAAGGTTGGGAGAGAGGAGACAGGGTGTCCTGATGCCTTCCACTTTCTGCTGAGGCAGACCAGCTGACAGCCCCGTCCCCTTCAACTTTACCTCCGTAGCTGCCCTTCCTGCCTCACTAGCTCAACACCTGGGCAGCTGGGAGGGTGATCTCTGGGGCTGAACTTGGAGTCTCTCGGCTCAGGCCAGATGCAGAAGGGCTCACCGTGACCCTCCTTCAAGTCCCTTCACGTTTTGTTTTGTTTCTATCCTATGACTGAGTATCTCTGCCACTCGGATGCCAGCTCCATGATGGCAGGGTCCGTGCCTGCCCCATACTTCCAGCCTGGCACATAGTAGCTGCTACTAAAAAAGCTATGAGTGCCCATCAATAGTGCCCAAACCACTTTCTGTAGAACAAGAAACCGCCCTGGTTCTCAGTAGGAAATCTCCTATACACCAGAGTTATTTTTTTTAGAAGCCAATAAAAGATCATTATAGACAGTTATGGACAAACAAATTTGAAAATCTCAATAAAATCTGTGCATTCCTTAGAATATGCATATAAGGCCAAAACCCAGCAAGAAGAAGATAGAAACCTCTAAGACCAGTAAATATTAAAGACATATAAATGGTACTAAAAAGCTTCCCTCCTTCCAAAACCCAGACCCAGTGGCTTTACAGATGAATTTTCCCAAAGTTTTAAGATTAGCTGATACCTGGTTTTACAAATTGTTGGAGCTGCTTTAAAATATATATAAAAAAGTGAAAGTTACTTTATGAGGCTTGGGTTAGTTTGATTCCAAAATTAGGTCAGGATAATAAAAGAAAATTCTAGGCTTGTTACACTTGTTAATGTAGGTGTAAGGAAGTCTAAGGGAAACATTACATAAAAGAATACAATAAGGTATTTAAATTATACAGCATGATCAGTGGGAGTTTATCTTAGGTACGCAGGAAGAATTCAACATCAGGCAATCTATCAAAGTCATTGAACACATTTATAGAATTAAAAATGAGAAAGTATGTGGCTATCTCAATGCAGGAAAAGCATTTGAAAAGGCTCATCTCCTATTTATAAGATAAAAACAAAATAAAAACTTCTTAGCAAACTAGAAATCGAAGGAAATTTCCTTGGCTTGGCTTGTTAATGGTTATGCAGCAAACACCTTACAATACATGTTGCCAGTTAAGAAGTTTTAGATGCATTTTCTTTAAAGTCAGGAACAAGGAAAGGATGATGTCAAGCAGCATCATAGTTTAAACAGAACTAGAGATCCTTGCCAACATTATAAGGAAAGAAAAAAGTAATCTAGTCTATAAAGACTAGAAAGGAAGAGTTAAATTTCTTTTCCAAGTTTAGAACATTCATTTCTAAAATAAAGCATCACATTTTTAATTAAAGTGAACTTATATCTTCAAAATAAGTAACCACAACAACAGTTAACAATTTACTAAGAAGTCCTTGGGAACCAGAAGATATTATTCCTGTTTAACAGATTAAGAAACTAAGACTTAGAGAAGGTAGGTGAATTGCTCAAAGTTGCACAGCAACTAAAAGGACAAAACTAAAATTCAAACCCAAGTCTGTTTGACTCCAAAGCCTATGCTCCTCACTACCCCTAACACCAAGGGGGTTTGTGTGACTATGGGGACATCAAATATTACAGGCCAGATCAGCCTCTGGGCTGAAAAGTTTACAAAGGCTTGGATACTGAAATCAAGGACTTCTAAAGTCTTCTAGAGGATTAAAGATCCTTGCTTTTTAAAAACGTCCGGAGGTGCCTGGGTGGCTTAGTTAGTTGGTTGAGAGGCCAACTCTTGACTTCAGCTCAGGTCACAATTGGGGTTTTGAGATAGCGAGGAGTCTGCTTGAGAATCTCTCTCTCTCCCTCGCCCCCCACCCCCATGTTCCCTCTCTTTCCCTCTCTCTCTTTCTCCAAAATAAATAAATATCTTTTTAAAAAATAAAATGGTAAAAATATGTCCAGACCCCCCAATATATTCTGGTGTGTCATGGAAGTCTCAGGCTCCGTGTTTCCTCCTGAGTCTTCAAAGAACTGTGAATTCTAGACCCAGCCTCAAGCCTTCTCTTACCTTGGCTCTTTTTGCAGCTCGGAACTTTGACCTGCAGAAATCTGAGGACATGCTCCGTAAGGTGAGGCCCCATTCTCATGAGTCTCCTGCCTCCACACACTGGACCCCAGGGATCATTAACAAAGAGCTTAGGAACCCATGCCCTGTCCTGTTCTTGCGTGTTTCCTCCCTTCCTCCTTTGATCCCTTTCTGCATCAGACCTGGATCCCCCATAGCCCTCTTCCTGGCATTGCCATCTCCAGTTCTAGGTCAGTAGAGCCTGGGGTCTTGGGGGCTGTAGGCAGAGGGACCTTGCCTAATACCCACTGTATTCAAGGCCTTTGTGGTAGGCAGTCTTCAGGTCCCGCCATTTCTCCACAGCACATGGAGTTCAGAAAGCAACAGGACCTGGACAACATCCTTTCGTGGAAGCCCTCAGAGGTGAGCCTCATGCAGCATCCCCCCCAAGACCATCAGATACCTCTCATACCCCTTCCCCAACATCCAGCCTTCTGATGGCTGATAGGTTGGTTTGAGTCAGGACCTCACACCAACCCCCAACCCCGTGCCCAGGTGATCCAACTGTATGACTCTGGTGGTCTGAGTGGCTATGACTATGAAGGCTGCCCCGTGTGGTTCGACATCATTGGGACCCTTGACCCCAAGGGTCTTCTCCTGTCAGCCTCCAAGCAGGAGCTTATCCGGAAGCGCATCAGGGTCTGTGAGCTGCTTTTGCGGGAGTGTGAGCTGCAGAGTCAGAAGGTAAGTGACTGGGTCCAGGATGGGAAGCACATGGAGGGCCTGATCTGTCTAATGGGTGGCACCAAGACCAGGTAGGAGAGGCATGCTGCCTCTGCATCTCCCCAGGCCTCAGCACTCTGGGCTTTGGTGGGACGTGGCTTCCTTCGCAGTCACCCATCTGTGAGTATCTAACGTGTGTGTGGCACTCGCTGCTGGCACGTGCCAAGGATCACCAAAGCCCCTTCCCCTCTGACCTTGGATGAGAGGTTGACCTTGAGTGCAGTGAACACTCTGGCTTTGTTCCCTGAGAACCCTGTGGGCTAGTGACTCTTGAGACTTGGCACATTGCCGTGGGGCCCTAGAAGCTAATATGGAATTGCTACCAAAGGAAAAAAAAATTGAGTCCTGTGGGGCATAGGGCTTCCAAGTCAGGAGGACCCACACCAGTCTGTATAGATTTTCTCTTTGCCCTGACTCTGTACTTCCTGGTCCATACCCTTCAGAATGAATCTGTTGCCAAGTGTGGTCTGTTGGCTTTGTGAGTCTAAGTGTCTCCATGAGCCTAAGAGGACCCTGGGTCGGGGAGCTCTTGTGTTACTTCGGGATGACCTGCCTGATAGCGAGGACAGGACTTGTGTCTCCGGTTTCTGTCATGGTGCTGGACACCAAGGAGCCCTTGGCACAGAGATCTGTGACATTAACCGGGCAAAAGCATGTGTCAGGCACTGGGCTCTTTGGGAGTTATCTCACTGAATTGTCCTAGAAATTCTTTCAGAAAGTGGAATTATTCCCACTTCCCAGAAGGAGAAAATAAGGCTCAGAACAGTTAAAAACCCACCCAAGGCTACAGAACCTGCCAGCAGTGTAGCTCTGGTTTGACACACCTTGGGACTACAGACGCTGGCTGATCTGGCATACTATTGTACAGGGAGATGCCCGATGGGCAACGAATGAGGTCTTTAATTCTACTGTTTACTAATTCCGGGCATTCGTGTTGAGCAAACAGTGTGATAAGGAACCACTGTGCCAGGGCTCAGAATGCAGCATTTTCTTAGCCCCTAGGTGGGCTCAGTCTGTTTGAAAAACACTGTGGGCAGTTGCGGGCAGGGGTAGCAGGAAGGTGGAAGCTGTACAGGGTCTCCCTGGCTGGGACCTTCTGGCCAGAGTTGTCTGACTTATATCTCTGTGTCGTCCCATGTAGTTGGGCAGGAAGATTGAGACGGTGCTGATGGTGTTTGACATGGAGGGGCTCAGCCTGAAACACCTGTGGAAACCAGCTGTAGAGGTCTACCAGCAGGTGAGGTAGGCAGCTGGCTCCAGGCCAATAGGGAGCTGCTGTCCACACCAGCTTCCAGTCCATGGAGGAGGGATCACTCCCCCCACCACAGGGGCCCCCAGAGCAGCCAGTGAGGGTCTGGGGACCCCACTTCCAAGGACAAAGAGGAGCATGAGTATTATAGGGGATGAAGCATATCTCCTGGGGAAGGTGGGTGGCCAGGGGGTGGCGGTGGCAGGGTCTCCTGTCTCAACAGCATTAAAGGCCACCAAATCCAGGTATAGAATGTGTTGAAGCATGACCTTGATCAGACTTGTCTTGCCACAGTTTTTTGCCATCCTGGAAGCAAATTATCCTGAGACAATAAAGAATTTAATTGTCATTCGTGGTGAGTCCATGATGGGGATGACCCCTGGGGGAGGAGAAGGGAAAGGGGGGAATCAGTGGGTAAATCACCCAGTTTAGGTTTCTCAAACCATCCTTTGTGAAGATCAGGGGGGTTTTGTTTGTTTTTTTGTTTTTTTAGTCAGTCCTTCATAGACTGATACTTTGGGAGTATACAGAGTCTGCTCTGATAGGTTGCAGCAAAAGTCAAATAAGTTCTAAGTTTCTAAATGTAAATGCGTGTTTTCTTTACTTTGTTTTTCTCAGTGTGGTATGGTAACAGATCGTTCAAGGACCACACTGGCTGGTAGATATGTTTGGAGTGGGAATGGTCCCTGTCTGTGATGGTTGTACAGTAAGGGGCCCACCACGTGTGCTCTGGGGTCAAATGATCTGCTTTCCAATTTGACTAGCTCTGTGATTGTGAGCAAGTCTACTTAACCTTACTAAGCCTCAGTTTTTCCAGTCTGTAAAATAGGGATGCAATGACAACATCCCATAAGACAGCCATGAGGTTAAATGAGACATTCTGTGGAGGAGCAGCCCACAGAAAGTGTCCAGTCAGTGTGAGCAGTTCAGGTGGGACGTGAGGTCAAATGCAGATGCTCCATCTACTTGCACCCAAGAAAATTCCGAGGCAACTTGGGAAACGTGTGAGTGTGGACAGGAAGAGGCACTATTGGGAAATCTACATTACTGACACCCTACAACTGGGTGGGGGAGGCAACCATTTATTGAGAGCCAGGCACTCTGTCATGTGTTATGCATACATAGTTTAATTTATCTCCATTTTATAGTTAACGGCACTAAGACTCAGAGAGGGTGAGTAACTAGCTGATGGTCACACAGCAGGCAGTAGTAGAATCTAGATCAATCCAACTCGTATCCAGCCCAGGGCCCTGGCCGTGACTATACCTCTAGTCCTCTCTAGACAGCTTCCCAGGGGAGTTTCATGTGTTTCAGCCCCCAAGCTGTTCCCTGTGGCCTTCAACTTGGTCAAATTTTTCATGAGTGAGGAAACGCAAAGGAAGATAGTGATTCTGGGAGGTGAGTGACTTGGTCTCCTGGCTGTGCCCATCTCTGCCTGGGCAAACAGAGGTCAATGTGAAAGGTCCCATTTCTCCCTGCCTCATCCTCTTTAATCAGGCGCTCACCTTGGCCTGAATTCACACCCACCTTTGCACACTCTAATGAAGCTTCGGGTCCTGGACCCCAGCCTGGGTGACCACATAAAGCATTTGGGTGCTTTTAGGAGTAGGGGCTCAGGGGAGTGAGCTAAGGGAACATCAGCTTTCCTCCCTGGGTGTGGCTTCTCTGCCCTCTGTTGAGCCTCCCTGAGCCCCCCATTGTCCCCTACTGCCCGCCACCACCTTGCTCCCCCCCAGGCAACTGGAAGCAGGAGCTGCCAAAGTTCATCAGCCCCGACCAGCTGCCCGTGGAGTTTGGGGGGACCATGACTGACCCTGATGGCAACCCCAAGTGCCTGACCAAGGTACAGGGTGCTCAGAGGATGGGGAATGAGGGGTTATGACCATGGTGTAGTGCTCGCTCACCAGCCTTCACCCACAGATCAAATACGGGGGTGATGTGCCCAAGAGCTACTACCTGCGTAACCAGGTGAAGACACAATATGAGCACATGGTGACCGTGGCCAGAGGCTCCTTCATGCAGGTGGAGAATGAAATCCTGTTCCCAGGCTGTGTGCTCAGGTAGGGATGGCGGCCACGTCAGCCCTGGGCACAGCTGGGAGGGGCCTGGAGCCCAGGCAGGTGGTCATCTGTGGGGCCCTGTCCCCTGCAGGTGGCAGTTCGCATCAGAAGGGGCAGACATCGGCTTTGGGGTTTTCCTGAAGACCAAGATGAGTGAGCAGAAGCAGGAAGGGGACATGGTGGAGGTGTTGCCCATCCAACGCTGCAAAGCCCATGTGGTCCCTGAGGACGGGAGCCTCACCTGCCTCAAGGCCGGTGTCTGTAAGAGCTGTAGGATTCACTGGAGTCGCCTTCCTCCTTATGACCGAGAAATGAGCCTCTTGCCCAGGCTGTCCCGCTTGCCCTCTTTTTCTTGCTCTCGGGGAGGGGGAGGGAGTCTCTGCAAGTTACTAGATCCTGTAGCAGCTGGGGGAACTGGCTTCAGGATGCTAGGTCTGGGGAGTAGCCCTTGGGTATGGGTAACAGGGCAGAGAGGCATTTTAGAGAGTGGGATTCACAGCCTGAAGCCCCAGACTCAGCTCCTGGGAACCCCTTACACAGCACTCAACAGGCTGAGAATCAGGTAGGTAAATAGACGTGGGCTACCCTCTAGGGGTCCCCGGCTGCCCAGGGGCATAGGCACGTCCTTGTGGGAATCCCAAAGAGAGGATTCCTCCATGTGCTTATCCTTCATTCTCAGGCCATCCAAGATAGATGCAATTAGGTCCGTCTCTCCAGAACCCGCCCTCCCTAGGGACAGCACTGACCTGCCTCTCTTGGGAACAGAGCTAGGAGAAGGGAAACCCAGAGATGAGGAGCATGAGGTTTACTAATGCTCTGGTTAACACGTATCTAGTTCACCTTTGTGGAGAGGGAGAATCAGAAAGGTGGAAACCCAGAAATTTGGATGACTCATCACATCCCAGAGTTCCCTTTGCACCTTGGCATCGAAGGGAATGCCTTCTTTGAAAGGCAGGAAGGGAAAGCGGCTTGTGGAGCTCAGCCCTTTCCCCTGGGGAGAGCAGGGCTCCTCTCTCAGTTGGAGCATCAGGATAAGGGAATCCTGGTCCTTCCCTTCCCTGCTCTGTACTCATTGGGAAGTCCTCTCCACCTCTGTAGCCTCAGCTTCCTCATCCTGAAAATGGGGATGATAGTATTCCATGGGGCTGCTTTGAGGGTTTGGAAAGCCGGGAGCGCCGATGGGACGCCTGACACATAGAAGGGGCTGCCGGATGCTGGTGGTTATTCCTTTCATTAGCCCAAGGCCATGGCTGGGGCAGTGGGCGCTGGGAGCGGGGCAGTGGCCGACCCTCTGGCACCACCTGCAGTCCTGGGCCCATTGCCAAGGGCACTACGCATGCAAATATGTCAGGTTGGCTTTGCGGGATGACTTCTCTACCCTTGCAGATATCCTGCGCTTTGACAACACCTATAGCCTGATGCACACCAAGAAGGTCAGCTACACCGTGGAGGTGCTGCTCCCAGACAAGGCCTCCGAGGAGAAGCTTCAGGGTCTCTAGGCGAGGAGACTATCCCCAGCGCAGTGAAGACCCCGGCTGCCTCTGTGCCTGTGCTTTTCAACCCCATAGCACTCCCTCCCTGTCCCCTGCCCTCCCAGGCACAGGGGCAGAGCAGGAAGGGGACACCCCATCCATCGGCCACACTGAGGATTCAGACAGGCTCCTGATCCCCTGTTTGTGGAGACCAGGGACACTAGTCCTGGGACTCACCAACACCTAGCAATCTGGCCTGGGAACATGTGCCTGTGCCCCGGGCCATGCAGGGAAAGCAAAGCATCAAGTCTGAAAGAGCAAGGACGCCCCCCGTCTCTGTACCTGGGGACTCAGTGGGTGGGGATAGGGGCAGCTGGAGGTGGCCTGGTGAAAGAATGGAGCCAGCTAAGTGGTAAAGTGGAGGGTCTTGGTTCTGGGAGGGCACCAAGGCCCTTTAGACTTGCCCTCCTGCCTTTGGAGGGAAGATCAGGAATGGAGCATGAGGCCCAGCAGGGATAACCATGGCGAGGACGAGCCATGCCTGGTCACCCAGAGTTAGATGGGTGAAGACTGAGTCTATCAGAATTCTCAGTGACCCTGGCCTCCCTCTCACCACCTGCCATGATCCAGCTGATATTCAGCTTGGGTTCTTTTTGGCCCTGAGGAAGGACCAGGACCATAGCAGAGCTGGAGGGCCATGGAACATGCTGGAATAAAGTAGAATGCGCTGAGTTAGAGCTGCCAGTCCCCAGCGTGCTTATCCTAGACTCTCATTTGCTTCTTGGAGAACCGTCGAGTTTTCTTCCATCTTTGTGTCTCACTAGAGGGACAGTTAAGGGTTGTCTGTCAACAGCCCACTACCCCGCCCCAAATGCGACTCTGTAGCTGGCTGATGATGGCTGGTGATGGCTCCCACATCCCACAGTCAGGATCATCGTGTGCTTGAATGAGCGTCCAGAATGAACCAGCGCAGCCGCTGAGTGGTCAGATGTCCTTGTTAAAGGGGTCCTTGGTGCCAAGGATTAGCATTGTGGCTGCCAAGATATTTACCAGAGACAGGAAGCCTCAGCTAACACCAACATCCAGGTGCTCTGCAAACAAGAAGCCGGCTTGGGCCCCTTTCTTGCTCTCAGATTCTGTGAAAAGCTATTTAACATAGCTTTCCTGATTTCCCAGGGCCTCTTCTTCCCAGGCAAGAAAACAATGAGGCTTGGGAAGGCAGAGGTCTTCAGGTGAGCTATGTGATGTCCTTGGGGCCCCAGACCCTCCACCTGTGGCAGGCTGCATCACCCATGGTCCAGCACACATAGTCTGAAACGGGCTCTGCTGCTATAGAAAGCCAATGAACTCAGAAACACAATTTAAAGCCAAGGCATGGAGGCATGGCTGATCCAACAGCGTAGGAGGAGTTTGACAAGAAAAAATCTGGTCCTGCCAGCACCAAGGAGAGAGCCCAGGGCTGCTGGGTGAAAATCGTATGACGTCCTTGTGTCCAAGGGCTGCTCCTGCCTCCCCACTGCAACGGGCTCTCCCACCACCACCCTACGGCACGCTGTGGCCACCCTCCGCGGACCCAGAGGCACTTGGGCATTTCAGAGCCATCTTCCTGCCGCACAAGCTAGAGAGGGTGTAGCTGGCTGCGGTTGTAAGGGTCCAGGTCAGGTTTCCCTGGGCCCACCCCATGTCATGATGAGGGAGCTCACAGTGCCTCATTTAAGCCTCACATCCCCAGCCAAAAAACAAGGGGTTCATGGATTTGAACCTGATCCTTGCTTTTCCAACCACCCACAGCAAATTTCCCACAATGTGTTTGCACAGCCTTCTCTGGTTTCCTTGCAAGTAGCAGACTGGTCCATGTACAAGGGTTTAATTTCACAAATATGGGCCGCCTGGGGAGCGGCAAGGAATGGAGGGCTCAGGGGTCGGGTGTGGACACCAGTGACCTTGAATCTCAGAGCTGGTAGAGTGTACTGCGTGTGAACCTGTGAGTACAGTGGTCACCTTGGGAAGTGAGGACAGATGTCCTGTCCGGCAAGGTAGACAGGGAGCTTGTCCTCAACAACTCCATCCCTCACTCGACACCATCACCTCTTTACCAAAAAAAAAAAGGGGGAGGGAAGGGAGTAGCCCAGAGAGGGGCTGGCTCCCCTGAGGTTTGTTTCTTCCTTCCAGTCACTCATCAATGTTTATTGAGTGCCCAGCACCAGGCCCTGCAGGCCCTGGGCACACGGGGTGCTGGGCTTACCCCAGTCTGCTGGCAGAAAGCTTACCTGCACCAAGGGAGGCTGAAGTGATTCTCATGGCCATTATCAAGTGGGCGGCTCGGTGGGGCAGGAGCCAAATTCTGGGGGAGTATCCAGCAAAAAACAACAAACAAACAAAAAAACCTGATGGGGTATCAGAAGTGCTTTGCCAAAGGCAGGGACCCCTGAAGAGAGAGCTGAAGGTGTAGGCAAGCCTTCCAGACAGAGGAATGGAGTGAGAACAGGGTGTTTGAAGGATGTTTGAAGCTAGAGGAAAGCCAGAAGGGCCCTTGGGTGACGCTGGAAATGGGTCACCAATGTTTGCTGTTTCTTTGTGAATGACTGTGTACACATTAGGTACATTAGTTAATAAGACTATTTCATAATGGAGGTTACAAAACAGAGATTTGTTGTTTGTCAAGAAAGAGTGGCAAAAGCTTGGCAGGAAGCCATGGATCAAAGCTCTTGCTCAAAATGAGGTGATTGGAAATAGCCAGGCCTTCCCTGTCCAGAGGCGTGGAGGCAGGGCCTGCCTTTCCCAGGGCCTATCTCCTAATTGGAATCCTAACAATATTCCAGGGGAAGCAGGGAAATAAGCTGGGGAGGGGGGAGGTGTTATGTATAGGGTTTTTGGAGGGCAGTTGGGAAGGCTCTCCTGCCCCTCAAGTCTCTAAGTCAGTTCAGCTCACCTTCCAAGAGCCTAGGCCAGAAGGGACCCCAGTGTGGGACAATCACAGCTTCACAATCACTAGAGCAAGTCTTCGCCACTCCAGGGCTTGGCAGGCCACAGTATGACCCCTTCCCTGACACCCCGAAACAGACGGGGGTTCTAGCGAGGACGCCAAGGCTCAGTTAGAGGGAGTGCCGCGGCCAAAGGCTCAGTGTCTAATGGCAGGGGTGGAGCCAGCACCCAGGTTAGCTGCCAGCAGTGCCCCTGCCCTGCCTTTCAGAGAAGGACAAGGTCAGTGTGGGCAGGTGGGCCCCTGCCAGAGAGGGCAAGCCTGGGACAGAGAGGGGCGCTGGCCTGGGTCTGAGGAAGCCACCTCTCTGTGGGATGGGACACTGGGCCAGGCTCTTCTCCGTAGGCCAGGACCAAGCAGATGTAGGAAGCATCACGCCCTCTTTACCAAGGAGGGTGAGGCCTGGGGCAGGAAGTGACTTGTCAAGACACCCAACGTAAAGGGGGGAAGGTAGGATGTGAAGAGGGGTTCATCTATCCAGACAGCCCAGGTGCTAAATGAGCACATTGGGTGGGCAGGCTTCAGGCTTGGTGACTTTAGAGAGGAGGGGGCCGCCATAGGCTTGGGCGGGGTGGCACTCCGCTGTCTGTGACCTCTGCTCTCAGCCACCAGGGGGCGGTGTTGATAGTACGTCTCTCTCCCTACCCCAGAAATGTGAACAGGACCCCTCTGGGATCTGGCTGGTGAAGGGTGGATTTGCAGGTGGCTTGAGGCGAAGTTTACTTAGCCCAGACTCCCTGTGGGCCCATGCGGAGCAGCCAAAAGAGGTGGTCCCACCTGGGTTCAGATCCTGGTTCTGCCCCTTGCTGGTTTTCTCCCTAGATCCTTGTAGACTCCACCTCCATCCTTTGGCTGCCATAATCCGTCATCTCTTGCTTGGATTATTAGAAAAGTGTCCATGAGTCAGTCTCCCTGTGCCCATTCCTTCCGCCTCCCAGGAGGCTCCGCGGGGCAGCCAGAAAAAGCCTTTCTGAAATGAAAATCTGATCATCACTTCCTGTGGGAGCCCTTCCCTGGCTCCTCATTTCCTCCCGGGAAAGTTCAGTTTTCACTGGTGGCTTATAAGGCCCTCTGTGACCTGCCTTTGACACCCGCATTGCAGCTTCACCCAACGATCTGAACTCACCAATTCATCAGACTCCTTCCTGCCTCCCTGCTTTTACTCATGCTGTACCTTCAGTCTGGGATTCCCTTCCCAGTCTTGCTCTGTGCACCCTCGAGGCTCCCAGAGCCCTCTTTCCCTAGCCAAGCCCCCTTCCTCAGTCGCTAGCAGCGTTGGAGTCTCGTCTCCATGCTCTTGTTGCAAGGGGCCCACTGTTTATCATGAGAGTCATCATCTGTCTCATGTCTATCTCTTAGTCCCCACCAGCTACCAGGCCAGGCTACACTCCCCAGATGTTCAATAAAGCCTTGCAAAAAAAAAAAAAAAATAGATACCATTTACTGAGTGTCTATGCAGGCCTGCTGCCCTTGTGTTATCTTGTCTGATCTTCATGGCAGGCTTGTCAAATAAATACAGTCGTCCTGGTAATATAGGGGAGGAAAGTAAGGCTCAGAGACATGGTAGTTTGCTCAGTGATGGCATCACGACTGGGATTCAGGATGTCTGACTCCAGAGTGACATGTCTCCCTCGCCCATCCCGCCCCCCCGTTGGGTCATACCAGGAGCACTGCCAGAAAGCAGAGACTAACAGCATGACTCAGCACCAGGGAGAGACCCAAGTAGAGGGTCAGACAGCCACAGAACAGAGGAAAAGGAACCAGAAAAGATGGGCACACCCAGCTGTGTCCCCATCCTGAGATGATGGTAGGCCTGACAATAGTTATAAAAGCCGACACTAAATAACAATAATAGTAATAGTAATAATAATAATAAAAGCCAGCACTGGCTGGCTCAGTTCATTGGCATGTGACTCTTGATCTCGGGGTCATGAGTTCGAGGCCCACATTGGGTGTAGAGTAAATAAGCGTAAAAAAAAATAAAATAAAAGCCAACACTATTGATCATTTACCATGTGTCAGGCAGTGAGTGGTTACTGGCTTCTTCTTCTTTTTTTTTTTTTTTTTTTGGTTACTGGCTTCTAACCAGGGGTTCCAGGGTGTGGTGTGGATGGCCCTATCTGCCCTCCCTGCCTTCAGCTCAGGTCATGATCTCGGGGTCCTGGAACTGAGCGCCGTGTCGGTCTCCCTGATCAGTGGGGGAGTCTGCCTGTCCCTCTCCTTCTGCTGCTCCCTACTGCTTGTACTTCCTCTCTCTCTCTCTCTCTCTCTCTCCTTTTTAAAAAAATCAGTCACATTTCTATACATTAACAGGGAACATTCAAAAAGCAAAATTAAGAAAATAATTTCATTTACATCAGCATCCAACAGTAAAGTACTCAGGTATGACCTTAACTAAAGAAATGAAAGATTGATACACTGACAACCACAAAATATTGTTAAAGGAAATTACAGACTACTAAATGTAGGGGGAAAGACACCAACACTTAATGCTGTTAAGATGGCAACATTCCCTAAAGTGATCTACCGTTTCTGGGCAATCCCCACCCAAATCCCAACTGCCTCTTTTGCAAAAATGAACAAGCCAACCCCAAAGTTCCTGTGGAAATGCAAGGGACTCAGAATAACCCAAACAATCTTGGAAAAGTAGAATAGAGTTAGGGAGGACTTGCATTTCCTGATTTCAGAATTTAATATAAAGCCGCAATCATCAAAACAATGCGGTACAGGCGTAAGGATAGACATACAGATCAGTGGCAAAGAACAGAGAGTCCAAAAATCCACTCATCTGCAGTCAAGTGACCTTCGACATGTGTGCAAAGACCATTCAATGAGAAAAGAATAGTATCTTCAACAAATACTGCTCGGGGTTGCCTGGGTGGCTCAGTGGGTTAAGCCTCTACCTTCAACTTGCGTCATGATCTCTGGGTCCTAGGATAGAGCCCCGCACCGGGCTCTCTGCTCAGCATGGAGCCTGCTTCTCCCTTCCCCTCTGCCTGCCTCTCTGCTTACTTATGATCTCTCTCTCTCTCTCTGTCAAATAAATAAATAAATAAAATCTAAAAACAAAAACAAAAACAAACCAAACACTGCTGGGACAACTCCATTACAACATGGGAAGAAGCCAGTCAGCAAAGACTAGATAATTCTCTTCATATGAAATATCCAGAACAGGGAAATCTATAGAGATAGAAAGTAGATTTGCAACTGCCAGAGGCTGGAGTAGGGGAGCAGGAAATGGGGAAGGGCTGCTAATGGGTATACAGGGGTTGGTTTTCTGGGGGGTGATGAAATGTTCTATAATTAGGTAGTGATGATAGTTGCACAACTTTGTGAATATACTAAAAAAAATCATTGAATTATACACTTTAAGAGTGGTGAATTTATGACACATGAATTATAACACTTAAATTTTTTTAATTTAAGGAGAAGACAAAACTGCCCAAGAGTAAAGATGAAAAGTAGATTGTCTCAGGGTGCTACCCAGGGCATCATCACAACTCTGGTGGGGCACACCCAAATTCCCTTCCATCTCCTATTTTCAAGCCATTCCCACCTCACCTTACAGCCCTCTGAACCCTCCCCACTTGCCTCTATCCAACAACGCTCAGCCTGCTCACCCTGTAGTAAGGCTTCTCTTGGGCCCGCTTTGTACTGGCCCAACTAGTTCTGGCATGATCCATCTAGGGGAGGGCGGACAAGAATGTGACCCCGCTGGGGCCCAAGTGGGCTGAGTAGCAGCCTTTTCACATTTCCTAGTAACCACCTAGAAGGAGGGGTTCCAGGGTGTGCCGTGGGTGGCCCCATCTGCCCCCCTGCTGTTGTTTGCTTCTGTGGTTGTTACCATGGTCTACTGAGAGTCTGACAAACTAGGAGCTAAACACGATCTGGGGATTTACTGGGAGAAGACATGCATGCAGTGTGGGTGGGGGTTGGGGGCTCTCTTTTGCCAGGGCCTTTGTTTCAAAGGAGGGAAATTAATTCTGCTGGCCTCAAGACACTCCACAGCCCAAGGGGCATGGACCCAGGATTCCCGACACACGATGATGATGATATAGACCATTTATCGAGTACTCAGTATGTTCCAGGCACAACATTAAGCCTTCTGAGGGAAGGCAGGGCTGGGGAGTGGTTCTGGTGCAGGTTCCAGAATCAGACAGGCTTGGGTTCGAATCTTGGCTCCCCATTTCCTGGCTGTGTGACTTCAGAAAATTTTCTTACTCTCTCTGATCTTCCATTTCTTTGCAAAATGGGGATACCCCTACCTGTTTCCAAATGGTCTGATAATGATGTCATGCTCTAAGCAGAGAGGAAATGCTCAACCAATGGGAGACTGTGGGCTCCATGCAGACAGAGACCTAATCCATCTGGTTTACTGCAATATCCCCAGCATTCCCCTCCACATGCTCTTCAGTTTCCCACCTCCACACCTTTGCTCATGCACTTTCCCCTCCACATGCTCTTCAGTTTCCCACCTCCACACCTTTGCTCATGCATTTTCCCTCCACCTGGGATGCCCACTCCTCTACTCCAATCTCCATCCTTCTTTTCTTGAAAGTCTGGCTCAAATGCTACCTGCATCCATCCCATTGGGGTGACTTCTGTGCCTGGGTCCTCCCTCTGATAAGGATGGAAGCTCCTGGAGCTGAGACTGTGGGATCATCTAATAGTGCAACAGCAGAGTGCTTAATTGCCTGGGCTCAACTCTGGCTAAGTTGAATTCACGTCTCTATACCTCAGTTTGCTTGTCTATAAAATGGGCTTAACAATGGTGCCTACCCCTAGGGGTGTTCTGAGGTTTAAATGAGACAATGTATTTAGAATGGGGCTTGGCGTGGAATAAGCCTTCAATAAGTATAATAAACCTACACTGTCCATATGGTAGCCACAACCCACATGGGGTGATTTAAAGTAAAATTAATCAAAATTGAATTTAATTCAATCCACACTTGAATTCCTCAGTCTCATTAACCATTTTCCTATGTGACTAATGGCTAGCAAATATGTTGAATAGGACAGCCTAGATACAAGACATCTTTGCAGAAAGTTCTGTTGGCCAATGTTATGAATGATGATGTTGTGTGCACAACAGGTGTTCCCTTCTGGCTCTCCCTGCTCAGCCCCTGATGTCCCTAGAAATAACTGGGGCACCTTACATGAAAAGGATGAGGGAGAGAAAGGAGACTGGTGGGAAATAGGAAGGATTAGGGGCTAATGAAAGGGCAGTGGAGGAACCTAATCTCCACCTGCTCCCAGCCTGGTCGGAAGTAGGTGTGGACAGCAGCTAGGGTCTTTGCAGAAAGAGGATGGAATGTGAAGTGGGGTGGGGTTGAGGTGTGGAGTTACCTAATTGCTTCTGAGTGCGCCTGGCAGGTGCCTCAGATTGAGGGAGATGGCTAACAATGCCTCCCTTCTCCTTATGGGCCAGATTCTATCAGGGGCCCGGAGCAAGGAAGATATCCAGCACTAACTAAAGTCAGCTAGCCCAAAGAGGTCCCAAGATAGGGCACCTGGGTGGCTCAGTTGGTTGAGCAACTGTCTTCAGCTCAGGCATGATCTCCAAGTCTCAGGATCGAGTCCCACATCGGGCTCCAAGCTCCATGGGGAATCTGCTTCTCCCTCTGATCTTCTCCCTTCCCATGCTCTCTCTCTCTCTCTCTCTCTCTCTCTCAAATAAATAAATAAAATCTAAAAAAAAATTAAAAAGAAAAAAGAAGTCCCAAGATAGCCCAGGGATGGGGACATAGGATGCCCACAGACAGGGAACTTGGGAGAGCCCTGGGCAGAGTGCCTTGAGCTAGTCCAGGGGTTGTTTCAGTCCCCACGGACCCCATCAAGTCGTGAAGATATGGCCACACAGGCGTGGTGTGCTCTCAAGCAGATGTGGCCCTGGTTCCTTCTCTTAGATAGTCGTTGACAACGTGGCCTCTGCTCTACTGGAGTTTCTGACAGCTGGACAAGAATAATCCCTTAGATGTGACGACCCTTGACAGTCCATATGTCTCCTTAGATCTTTCCTCCAACTACACAAGGACAGGGCAAGCACTGGTAGTCCCATTCCATAAATGAGGCAAGTGACTCTCAGAGATGTCCTCTTGAAAGGGAGGTCCCATAGGGGAATGGGGAGCCAGGCCAGGCCTTGTAGGCAGGTCTAATGCTGGGATATCAGGCAGCATGACAGAAATCAAAGGACAGGGAAATCTTCTGGGCTTCCTTCATCACCTTGCATACTTGGTGGACACCCCTCACTGATCAGGTGTTTAAAAACCCAAGAAATATTAAAAAAAAAATCCAAAAAACCAAGAAACACCCTCACTACCCCCAAGACCATCCTTATGCCCCACCTCTTCCTTAGGGCCCAGGGAATGTGGGATCTCAATCAAAGACCCTCATGTCCTCGTGATCTCAGCGATGAGAAAGCAGGCAACAAGGTGGAGGTGCTCAGCCCTTCCCCGTATTGAAGGTGCAGGGTCAGCATCACATGATAGGACTTGAAAGACACCAGGAAAAGTAGTGTCAGCCCAGTAGAAAAAACAGACCTTCAGCAAGGACACAGCCTGTCTCTTCTTGAACATGGACACTTGGTGCAAAAGGCTGTGAGTTTCCCACCCCCAACAAACTAAACAAACTCTGCTAGCTTGAACAAGTCCCCGAATCTTAAGAGTCAGAGCTGGGTTTAGGGGGCGCCCTTTGCAGAACTCTAGGTATGGGATCTCTTCATTAAGGGGATGGGAGATGGATGATGGGAGAGAAAGGGTGCCTGCAGGGGGCAGTCTTCATTCCTCCTGAAATCCCCACTTTCTCTGGAGGCCTGGGAGCATGGGTGGGGATTTGAAAGGCACTCAGCCTGGGCTCCAAAGCCCTCTGGCATGCTCTCCTGTGCCCCCCTGCCCCCCCAGACCTGTCTCAGAGCCAAGCACGGGACCTCACTTAATCCCAGTTATGTAATATGCAATCCATCAGTTGGCCAAAGAGGAGGTGCCTGGAGCCACACCCAGAAGTGGGGGCAAAAGGCCCCAGCTGGGTAGGGCCACAGATGAGGCTCGGTTTCTGCCTGGAGTGGCCCCCACTCCTCCAGCCTCACCCAGACACCATGAGTGGCCGAGTCGGAGACCTGAGCCCCAAGCAGGCAGAGACCCTGGCCAAGGTGAGAGCCCATTTCCTTGAGCCCCAGAAGAAAAGGGCGGAGGAGAGGGGGGAGGGGGTGGCTGGAACCCTGCCCCACTCTGTTGGCTTAGTGTGTTTTTGACATTTTCTCTTTACTGTCACCTTACCCAGGGTCATGTTCCACAGCAGCCAGTGATATCAGCTCTGTCCAGGGCAGGGGTTGAGGGAAAAGTACCACATCCAAACAGTAATAGTGTGTGTTCCAGATCAAACTTGACTTCTTTTGTTGGAGACAGTATCAGAGAGCTTTACCGACAGCTGACCCCACCCCAGCCATTCCTCCCAGGCCCCTTCGGTGGAACCCGAGGATGCTAATGGTTTGCCCTCTAACTCTGTTTCCCCTCCTTCCTGAGGACTTTGAAAGATAACCTGTCTGTAAGGGTGAGTGGGACAGAGCAGGGTGAGTGGTCAGCCCCACAGCCAATGGGGAGGAGAACATGCAATCACTAACCATGCTTTTGTAGAAGATGGGATGAAAAAAGGCAGAAGCCTTGGCAGGCTAATACACGGAAAGAACTATGAATGCACTCACGCCAATCCTCTTACCCACCCACCCACACAGTCAGTCATTTATCCTTTTTTCTTCTATCCTCCCACCCCACCCACCCACCCATCCATCCATCCCACCCACCAATCTCTCTTTTCTCTATTCCCCCATCTCTCCCTCCTTCCATCCACTGATTTCTCCTTCATTCTTTTTCCATCCACCCACCCACTCAACCATCCAAGCATTCATCCCTCCATCCTTCTTTCTATCCATTTACTCAGGATCTATCCTTCCTTCCATTCATCTGCCTGTCTACCCATATACCTGTCTCTCATCCTATCCATCTGTCCACCCATCCTTCCATCGTCATGGGCCAGACTGCATGTGAAAGAGAAGTGATGATGAAAACAATTATTGAGTCTGGGGGCCAAGGTTCAGTGCAAAAGCCACTTTAACCAGCATCTCCCTTCCCAGTTCCGAGAAAATGTGCAGGACGTGTTGCCCGCCCTGCCCAATCCTGATGACTATTTCCTTCTGCGCTGGCTCCGAGGTGAGGGCAGAGGTGGGGGAGACCAGGGTGAGGGGCAGTGAGAGGGGCCTGGTTCTAACCGCTCCAGAACAACTCATGGCTCTCAGGATCCAATCACACCGTCTTGCTTCACATGCTCAGATCCAGGAGAGGGGAGGGTCCTACTCGGGAGGAAGGAAGGAAGGTCCTACCCAGGCTCCTAGTCCCATGCATAGCTCCTCACAGTCCAGGACCAGGACAAAGTGACTACAAGGCAGCCTCTCTCCTGCCTCACACCTTCCTTCCATCTTCACACAGCTCGGAATTTCGACCTGCAAAAATCAGAGGCCATGCTCCGCAAGGTGAGACCTGTCTAACCATGGTTGATAGGGGATCTGGGTTGATGGAGATCTGGGAAGTGTTTTGTGGGGCGCAATCCACACCTCCAGCTCCCATCTCCACCCCTTCCCTGGAGGTGCTGGGAGCCCAGCGGGGCCTTACCTCTCCTCTCCCTTTCAGTATATGGAGTTCCGGAAGTCCATGGACATTGACCACATCCTTGATTGGCAGCCCCCAGAGGTGAGCCAACCCCTCCCCCAACAACCCAGTCTTTTACAGACATAACATTCAAGCAGCCTCTGGGTCACTGGAGAACACGAGTGAAGGGCTGCAAGCCTGAGAGGCCCGTGGAACTGCCTGCAGGCCTCTAAGCACCTCTCCTCTAATAAATATGAACATTTCCTGGGTGCTTATGAGGTCCTGGCCTGAGTTAAAACTTTAACTGCATGAATTTACTTAGTCATCACAACTCAGTGAAGTGGGTACAACTGTCCCTGTTTTACAGATGAGGAGACTGAGGCCCAGCAAAAGTTAAGCATGCTACCCAAAGTCCCACAGCCTCAGCGTCGAGCTGGGATTTGAATTCACATGAAACTGGCTCTTCACCACCACAGATAGCTTGTGCCTCTGAGCCCTCACCCCTAGGGCCTTGATCAAAGCATCCTGTCTGTGCAGGAAAGAAATTTAGCCCACCAAGTTGCTGGAGAGAACAGTCCCACCACTAGCACTCTTAGTAAAGCAATGGCCATAGTTTCATTTGTAGAGCGTGAGTTCTGGGCCAGGCACTGTGCTTTGCCAATATGATCCTGGGGACTTTCCCTAAGGGAGGGATTAACCAAACCATTTTACAGAAGAGAAGTGGAATGGGACTCGGGAAGGGACTGTCACTTTTTCAAGGATGCACAGCAAGGACGCAGTGGTGTCTCTATTTGGACCAAATATATTGACCTTCAGAATCCATGTTTTCCATCACTAAGCTCAACTTTTCCATTAAGAAAAGTTAATGGAAAGGGACATGGGAGATGTTGGGGGACAGAATTAAGGAGCCAAGAGGCCTTCAGCCAGACCCAGACTATGCCTGGCTTTGCCATGTACTCTCTACAAGCAAGGCATCCCCCCAGGGTCCCTTAGTTTTCTCACCTGGACAATAGTGCCATCCTTCAGGGAAGGGGCAGTGCTTATACCATGCTGTGTGCAGGCTTGGGTCATCCAGGTCAGCCAAGTATGGGGGTCTCTGGAGAAGTGCATAATGCCAAGTTCTGTGTATCTTTCCATGCCCAGGTGATCCAGAAGTATATGCCTGGTGGCCTGTGTGGCTATGACCGGGATGGCTGCCCGGTGTGGTATGACATCATTGGGCCGCTTGACCCAAAGGGCCTGCTCTTCTCGGTCACCAAGCAAGACCTGCTTAAGACCAAGATGAGGGACTGCGAGCGCATTCTGCATGAGTGTGACCTGCAGACAGAGCGGGTAAGGCCCAAGCTGAGTGGGGCGGGCAGCTGGGTGCAGGTGAGGCTGCCAAGGGACAGAGTCCCAAGATCACACTGTGCTCTCTGCTGTCACAGTCAGAGGACTCTGGGGTCAAACCATCTCAGCAGCTCTGCTGCTTCCTAGCTGTGTGGTCTTGGAGAGTCATGTCTTTCTAAGCTTGTTCCTCACCTACAAAACAATAATAATAATAAATAACGGTTGCAAAGATTAAATGAGATAATGCAAATGTATGGCCCAGCACACAGAGCCTCATGCATATTTCTCAACAATGCTAGTTACTTTTATTCCTTCTGAGTCTGCTGTTCCTTCTGTTCAGATAACTCAATCCCCCAGTGCATCGCTACCTCCCACACTTCCCTTGGCTCTCTCCCTTCTATCGTTCAGGTCCGAAACTTAGATGTCACCTTCTCTGAGGTCCCTATCTGGGTTAACATGTGTCCCCGCAGCTCCTGTGCTGTTTACTTGCAGCACTTACCTCGGGACTTACAGCAACCTAGTTGCTTGTCAGTCTCTCCAAGCAGAATGTGAAGCCTTTGAGCACAAGAATATTATAGGTTATACTCTCCATGTCTGGCACAAAACAGGTGTTTAATAAATATCAACTGGGAGGGTGCCTGGGTGGCTTAGTGGGTTGAGCCTCTGCCTTCGGCTCAGGTCATGATCTCAGGGTCCTGGGATTGAGCCCTGTATTGGGCTCTCTGCTCAGTGGAGAGCCTGCTTTCCCCTCTGCCTACTTGTGATCTCTCTCTCTTTCAAATAAATAAATAAAATCTTTAAAAAATAAATATCAATTGGACTAACTGAGGGATGAGTGGATGATTGAATTGTAGTATGAATGGATGGATGGGTGGGTCAATTAATGGATGGATGGACAAATGGATGGATGGACAGATGATAAATTGATAATGCATGATGGATGGATGGTTAGATAGATGGATGGATGGGTAGGTGGATGTGTGGGTAAATGCATTCAGTTTTGTCCATTTGTTCCTCTGAGGACAGAGTAGGGGGCTGGTAGAATCACTGAGGGGTCAAATACTAGGGTCACCATGTCCCAAGTTCTGAGCCTGCACCCTGAACCTTGGGACTAGTTTTCGCTTTCATCCTTGCAGCTGGGGAAGAAGATTGAGACCATTGTGATGATATTTGACTGTGAGGGCCTGGGACTGAAGCACTTCTGGAAACCTCTGGTGGAAGTGTACCAAGAGGTGAGGAGAAGGCCCCATGGGTGACTCCTGCTTTCCTTAATGATGAGCTTGGTCTGCTGTGACCTTGTTGCTCATTCAGAGCCAGGATTTGGTAAAAGGTGGTGGACTTTCTGGGCTCTGGCACTGCAACGCAGGACCCAAAGGGCCTTAATGTGTTTCCCAAAAGGCCTCAGAGTCAACACTATACTGAGACCCTAGAGGCCACCCTCTGCCAAATCTTCCCAGCTCTGTCATCCCAAGCTCTGTGACTCCAGCAAGTCACTTCATGCCTCCATGCTTCAGTTTCCTTGCCTACAAAATGGGGATACCAGTATTCTGCATTTCAAAGGGATATAGGGATATTCCAATGGGTTGATATATAAAATGTGTACACAGTGCTTGGAAAATTGTGAACATTTAATAAACAATAGTTATTATTATTGCTATACTACTATTACTATTAGATTTACTCTGAAAGTGATTATTATTAGAGTGTGGTTGTAAAAGTCTGAAGTGAGAAACTCTCCTCCGGAGGCCAGTGGAGGTGATGGAAATAAAGGAAACCCTCCTTAGTCCTTTGGACACTCCAGAAGGGAGATTGCAAAGGCAATGGGGTAGGAAAAGATGAGATGTGGGCTCTGATGGGGTCTTTCTTGGTTCCACAGTTCTTTGGCCTCCTTGAAGAGAATTACCCGGAGACCCTGAAGTTCATGCTCATTGTGAAAGGTGTGTGACAAATGACTTCACTTTTTTGTGTCTCAGTTTCCTCATTTGTACCCTAGAAACAATCAAAGTGCCTTCTTCCCTGGGTAGTAGTGAGGCAGGTTGGTTGCTTGGCTGCATGCAAGTCACTTAGAATGCCTGGAATAAAGTTAGTGTTCCATAAATAGTAATTTCTGTGGTTGGCCTTACTGCAAGAAGAGGCAGTTCCAATACTAGCTCTTCCAGGAATCGTCTCTCATTTCTCCCACCCGTGTTGATCTCCATTGCCAAAATGACTGTGACACTGAAAGCTGGAGCAGCCAAGTCTGGCCTTTCCTGTCTGCTGCCTTCTGGAGGTCTCTAGTTGTCTTGTGTGTGTTCATCCTGGTTTTTTCCCTCAGTTGTTCTGCCCAAATGGATATTTGATGGTTGGCTGGTTAATTGGTTGGTTGGTTGATTATTTGTTTAGTTGGTTGTCTAGTTTATTGGCCAGTTGGCTGGCTGTCTAGATGAATGATTGGTGGTTAGTTGGAGAGTTAGTTGGTCAGTTAATAGATTGGTTGATTGGTTGGTTTGTTGGATAGTTGTTGGCTTGGTTGACTGAGGGACCAGCTAGCATTTTGGTTAGTTGGGTAGGTGATTAGCAAGTTAGCAGATTGGTTAGTCAACTGGCCAATTTGTCAGTTAGCTGAAACTTGGATGGTTGGCTGGCTGCAGAAGGCAAGTGGCTGTGTTGTTAGTTGGGTGCTTAATAGGCTGATGGGTTTTCTGGTTGGCTGATTTGTTAGTTTGCTATTATGACTATTTGGTAGGTTGGCTGACTAGTTGGTAGTCTGATTGGTGGCCTGATTAGAAGGCAAATTGATGGGCCATTTTCTTGCTTGGTTGATTGTATGATTTTTTTTTAAAGATTTTATTTATTTATTTGACAGAGAGATCACAAGTAGGCAGAGAGGCAGGCAGAGAGAGAGGGGGAAGCAGGCTCCCCGCTGAGCGGAGAGCCCGATGCGGGGCTTGATCCCAGGACCCTGAGATCATGACCTGAGCCGAAGGCAGAGGCTTTAACCCACTGAGCCACCCAGGCGCCCTGGTTGATTGTATGATTGACTCGGTGGCTGGTTAGTTGGCTGCTTGTTGTCTGGCTGACCAATTGTGGGGATGGTTTGGCAAGTACCAGACATTTTCCAATTCATGAATCCTGCATATTATTGGCTATGACTATTACAGAGAAAGTGTTACAATGGAATAATTTTTTTCTCCATTATCTTTGTATCTCTCCAGCTACCAAACTGTTCCCTGTGGGCTACAACCTCATGAAGCCCTTCCTGAGTGAAGACACACGCAGAAAAATTATAGTATTGGGAAGTAAGTAATTCTAGCTCTATTCCCTGAGCACTGTGCCACCTGGAGTCAGACATTCCTTTTTAAAAGTAAAGTGAAATATATTTTACACTATAGAGTCTACTCTGCTGTATTCCATGTCCTTGGTGACTGAGGCCTCACACCTTCTCCTTATTAGTTTCAGTTTGGTTGATAGTCAACCTCTGGGCTATAGGCCTCATTTTCCTTTCAATGCTTATCACCTCAGTGCTTCTAAAGGCAATGTGGACTGAGTAGGATAAGGAAGAAGAGCAGGAAATGGAAGAGGAGATGTGATTCAGGGAAGGAAGTGTCAACAAGAAGGGACTGGATAAGTGAATAATAATGCATCTATTTGATGAATTACTAGAAAATCATAAAAGATGATTTGATACCAAGGGAAATGTTATTAAGTTTTTAAAAGCAGATTATAAAGTAGAGTGGATAGTATCATCTTCCTTGTAAAAACAAAAATATATTACTGGAAGAAAATGAAACAAAATGTTGATTTGTGGATGGCAAGAAATCAAGCGGTTTTGTTTTTTTTTTTTACTTTTTGTATTTTTCCTGTTTTCTAAAGTTTTATAATAACATGTATTACTTTTATAAGTAGAAAAAAATCATTATTTTTAAAAATGATAAGGAGGGGTGCCTGGTGGCTCAGTGGGTTAAGACTCTGCTTTTGGCTCAGGTCATGATCTCAGGGTCCTGGGATTGAGCCCCACATTGGGCTCCCTGCTCAGTGGGGAGCCTGCTTCCCCCTCTGTCTCTGCCTGCTGCTCTGCCTACTTGTGATCTCTCTCTCTGTCAAATAAATAAATAAAATCTTTTAAAAAATAAAAATGATAAGGAAAGAGAGAGAAAGAAGAGAAATAGTTCTTAAACTCAAGCCAATGACCTTGAACTTGGAGCAACCTCTTGCAAGCAGAATGGTCAGATCATCAAATCAGGAGATCTAAGAATCTGGGAAGGTAGAGTCTTACAAATCCTTGCCTTCTTTCTCTTCCTGATACTTGAGTCTCTGCCTCTGCCCAGTTCCACAGGGATAGGGAGCTAAGTGGATCACAAGGTAGCCCCCCAAATCCTGTAGCAGTGTGGGTAATGCCACACTCCAGGTACAAGTCTGGGGCTCTGTCCTACTGGTGGCACACAGGGCCCTGTGTGTTTGGCCCTCATGTGCCAAGCATTATGGTCTTTGCTTTTATCCCACTGGAGGCAAGGAATATCCCATGGCCACAGTGGGGTTGGGGGTGGGTAGGGGAGATAGCCTGGATTGTCATAAGACCCAGAATGCTTAGAGTTTTGCACAGGGCATGAAGAACAGTAATGAGCATTATGGCTTTAGTGATTAAGCATCACAGAAAGGGAAGGTCTATTCAAAGGCCCAGGGCTATTCATTCCCCACCAAGAGGTCTGTCTTGAGTATGCCATCTATATGCTGTATGGCCGCCAACAAGATTTTTTACATCAAAGGCTTTAAAGTCTCCTTGAGACAATTAGATGATTCTTATCTTCACTACTCAGGACTGGAAGACCCTCAAAAATGTGCAAACCCATCAGCTCAGAGGAAACATTTTTCCATAGCAATACAATGCTGGATGACACTTCCTACAGCCCAAGGCCTGAGAGACTGTAGAATTGGTCTTTGTAGCCTAGTCCCTGTAGGGTTTTCCCCAAGCTTGGGCCCCTCCCCAGTGGGAGTGGAGGGCTGACAAGTCCCCTCCACGCTTTAACCCCTCTGCCCACAGGCAACTGGAAGGAAGGTTTGCTGAAACTCATCAGTCCCGAGGAACTGCCTGCTCAGTTTGGAGGGACTCTGACTGACCCAGATGGGAACCCCAAATGTTTAACTAAGGTACAAAGAACCCCAGACAGGAGAGAGAAGAGGAGTAGAGCTGAGTTCCTTTCTCACCCACTCATTCATTCCACAAATTCTCCACAGAAATGGAGAGACCCCTGTGAGACAGGTACTGAGCTAGACAGTCCCAGCCTCACTATCACCGGGCTCTCAGCAGCTGTGCAGGCAAACAAGAAATGAGGAAAATTTGACTCTGAGGGATGAACTGGAAGGGGAGGTTTCCAGAGAAGGTTTTGACCCTGGAGGGTCAGGGAAGGCTTTCTGGTGGCAGGTGGTGGGAAGGTGGCAGTGGAAGAGGACAGGGTGAGCAGCATACTTCCAGAAGATGGTGAAAGCATCTCAGGCAGGAGAAACAGCATGAATTCAACAGCACAAGCAATGCCATGGTCAAAAGAGTGAAGCAAGCCCATTCTGTCCTGTGTCTGCAGATCAACTATGGTGGGGAGATCCCCAAGTCCATGTACGTGCGGGACCAAGTGAAGACTCAGTATGAGCACTCAGTGCAAATCAATCGTGGCTCTTCACACCAGGTGGAATATGAAATTCTGTTCCCAGGCTGTGTCCTCAGGTAAGGGCCAGGACACCAACCCATTTCTGGCTGGTCTTACACCCTCAGGGTCCCACAAGAATGAACAGGACTTACCCCCTCCCGCCTACCCAGGTGGCAGTTCTCCTCTGATGGTGCAGACATTGGTTTTGGGGTCTTCCTGAAGACCAAGATGGGGGAGCGGCAGCGAGCCGGGGAAATGACAGAAGTACTCCCCAGCCAGCGTTACAATGCCCACATGGTGCCTGAGGATGGGAGCCTCACCTGCGCAGAAGCCGGTGTCTGTAAGTCTACCCTGGCTGGGCCTCAGCTCTGGAAGGCTGGAGCCACCTGTCCCATGGTTTACAGGAGGAAACAGAGGGGCAATGACTCCCCCTACCCCAGGAACATACAGCCTAGGTTAGTGTAATTCATTCACACAGTTGATCATTCAGACTACACTCTCAGGCATTTACTACACACCAAAAGCTAGTGACACATGCCTTGAAAAGGCTGAGAGTACTTGGGCCACAGGACACAGACAAGGGACAATAAGGCATTTCCCAGGCAGAAACTGGGGTTCTGAGAAGTAAGTCAACTTATCCAGAGCCACACAGCTGAGTGTAATGTCAGGGTCCCACCTCAGTTTCATGGTAGCTGCATAACCCCAGGCAAAGCTTACCAGTTTGGACCCTTGGTTTGTTCATCTGTGAAGCAGAGGTTACAACCTCTGCCTCTTGGGTGGTTGTGGGGAAGTAGAAGGTATACACTGGTCTCACTTTATCCAAGGGGGCTGGGAGGTCTTTGACATTCCCAGCTGCCCTCCCATCCCCACCAACCCCTATCATGCAAGTGTCCAGGTGTGGAGATAATGGGATGCAGTGGCCATTGTCCTCATTGCCAACTGGTGCAACTGAAGTCAGGCTGGGCATGCGCCAAGAGGAGGTCAGTGTCTGTTTACAGACATGGCTTTAGAGTGACAGTTCCCATGGGAAAGGGAAAAGGATTGGTGGGAACTTGGCCCAGCTTAGTTAACATAGCAGGTAGAAACAGAGCCTGTCCTCCCTCCTGTAGCTGGGGTAGAGACATGGGGAATGTGAAGCCAGGCCTAACTACCCATCTGTCCATCTGTCCCCCCAGATGTCCTGCGCTTTGACAACACCTATAGCTTTGTCCATGCCAAGAAGGTCAGCTTTACGGTGGAAGTGCTGCTCCCAGACGAAGGCATGCAGAAGTATGACAAAGAACTCACCCCTGTCTAGGCAGCTTCCTCACTTCTCTGAGACCTGAGACACTCTCCTTTTTCTATCTATATCCTACCATTCTTCCTTCCCTCAGAAACTGATCGCTAGTCTTCTTGACTCTGTGAGATTAGTCAGTAAAGAAAGAGCTGCCTTGAGGAAGACTTATGTGTTGTGGTCAGATCAGGAAAGGCACAGTTTTTGAAGGATGCCAAGATTGCATAAGAGAAGAAGAAAGGTGAAAACAAGAGGTGACGTCACTGAAACCCAAGAAATCACAAAATGAATTCTTAACTTTTGTCTTCACTTCTCCTAAGGCATTTGTGTGTGTTCAAATTTCTACGCTATGAGCTATGAGCCACTTGGGTTACAAATACATCTAAATTCTTTTTTACTTCTACTCCTTATACAGTAGATGCTCAATATATACTTGTGAACTTGAATGAAGGTAGTGAGCAGGGTAATTCACGGGTGTACATTTCAGCACCTCGGACAGAGGCCAGGCCCAGGATGCAGACCCAGGTGATCCAGCCCCCTGGTTTCTGGGAGTGGCTGCCCCCTCGGGTAGGTAGGAGAGGCCTCCATAAGACTTTGTCTGACTCCCGCCACATAGCTTTCCCAACCCATCACTCCCACCTGTACCCACTTCCCATGGAACTCACACCTTATATTTTAAGCAATTAAAGAAACTTTACTGAAAGCAAAAGAGGTCCTATCTGGCTCTGGCTGCTGCCTGTTGATAACAATTTAAAAGTCTAGGCTATCATTTGATGAGTGCTTTCTTGCACACCACACATGATGCCAAGTGCTTTATGAGTGTTGCTCATTTCATTCTCAAACCTCCCCCGGGGGCCATTTCTCATGGCCATCTTATGGATAAGAAAAGTAAGGCTCAGAGAGGTAAAGTCACCTCCAACATTAGTTCTTAAGTGGGAGATTCAAGCCCTAGGGTTTGTTTTTTCTTTACTCCAAATACATTGTTTTTAATTGTCTATAATTCCACTTCCTCAGACCCTACTTTCACAAAGGAAACAAAGAATGACTTATTTGTCCTAGATCTTCCAGTAGAAGTGTCCTGGGTGTCATCCTCTCCAATCCCAGTTTGTGGACAAGTATGTGTTATGTCCATTGGGCAGCTGGGGCAATAGAGACCCCCAATGCTCAATTGTATGTTGTTAGTCCAAGGGGATTCACAGCAAAATGGACTAGGCCTTTGCCTCTAAGCCGTGCATCTTGTCCACTGTTCACATGGCCTCTGAGAAGCATGACCTCCTGACACCCACCATGGCCCTGGGTGACTGAGGGGGAAGTCACATCTCCAGGACATTCCTGCTCCATCCAAGCCAGGGACACAGAGACACTGGCTTGAGCCCTAGGACCTCTGGCCAGGAGGTACCGAATTACACAGAGAAGGTGGGTAGGTGGGGACCAAAGGCTGACTGGTCCTTGGGAATGAGCTGCCCAGGACCAAGGCTGCTGAAGTGAGCCAGAGTGGAAGGCCTGTCTCCAAAACCAATCAAGCAAGTGTTCAGCAATGCCTAGCACTTTCCATCTGCACTTATGGGCACAAGATTTTATCTCCATTTTATAGATGGGAACCTGAGATCTCAGAAGGCACTGGCCTGGTTTCCTTTGGCCTATGGGTGGGAGAAATAGCCTTGAAGTTAGGGCCACCCTCCCCCACCTGCTCACTCGCACCAAATTCACACTACTGTAGCAATTTGCCAGAATAAGGCTCTCAGATGTGGGGAAGGTGAGGAGGAGAGGGTTGTCAGATTTATGGGGGGAAGATGCAATATGTGGAATGTACTTAAAATTTATTGTTTATCTGAAATTAAAACTTAATGTGGCATCCTGTATTTTATCTGTCTACCCTTCAAATGAGGGAGAGAGGAGGTAAAAGCAGGGAAGAAAGGGAAGAGGAGGATGGGCTCATTCTCTTGGAAGACTGTGGTAGCATCAGCAATGTGGGTCCAAGGGTCCCTGGGAGTGGTTGGCCCAGCATCTCTGGTGCAGGGTGGAGGCAGAAGGCAGCCCTACCCTTGTCCCCTACGGGAAAGCCTCCTACACTGCAGCAGGCTCAGAAGGAGGATGAGGGGTGGACCCTTTACACCCTTGAAGCTGAGGCAGCTGTAAGCATAGGATGCCGTCATTTGCTCGACCTCCTCTACTGCCACTGAGAGCTCCCTCTGAGCTACCAGGGGCAGCAGCGGGAGCCTGGGCCAGGGCTGAAGCCAAGAACCAAAGAGTGCCCCTCCCCATCTGCTGATGGCCAGCCATGGCAAACCAGCTCCTACTCTATTTCCACCATCAGTGGGCAGGGAAAGAAGTTATTAGTATACTCGTCATAGGTCCTGTCCCCAAGCAGAGGAAGATGCCTCCTCAAAACACCATGGGACAGGGGTGCCTGGGTGGCCTTCAGCTCAGGTTATGATCCCAGGGTCCTGGGATCGAGCCCTGCATCAGGCTCCCTGCTCGGCAGGAAGACAGCTTCTCCCTCTCCCTCTCCCACTCCCCCTGTTTGTGCTCCCTCTCTCACTTTCTCTCTCTCTGTCAAATAAATAAAAACCTTAAAAACCAAACCAAACAACAACAAAAACCCACCATGGGACAGAAGAGGCAGTTGTGGGCGACCGGACGGCCCACAGCCTACTCTGCCCCAGCCACAGTTTCTTCCTGGCCCCTGACTCACTACCTTGTCTACCCTCCCAACCCAGGGGCCGTGCCCGTGGCAGATGAAGTGACATCCATTGGCCACACAAGTCGTGGGCTCCCCAGTAATCCCTCTAACCTGGTCCTTTGTGGATGGGAAGAGCCAAAATCACAGCAGTCACACACAGAGCTCTCCCACTTAATCAGCTGTCAGCTGCAGGTGGTCCAGACAGAAAGACGTGCTCAGACAGGGAGGTAGGGGGAAGACAGTCTGCCTGGGGGAGAGGCCCATCCCAAATCCCAATTCCCGCATGGCCCTATTAGCTGGGTGACAGCGGGCCATCACTTGACCTCTCTGGGTCCTCCTCTCCCTGGTTTGGCTATACCAGGGAGAGGCCACCTACATTTCCAGGGTAAGGATTTCCTATGGTACAGATGAAGCACCAGGTGGGGGCCAGGTGGGGCCTTCTACATCTCCCCACTGCCCAGCTTTCAGGACCCAGAGCCCGCACATCATGGCAGCAAGCACTTTCACTTTGGAAATGGAGGGCCCCCCACCCCACCCCGCAACCTCCAAGATCCAAAATGGGGGAGGGCTTTGCCTGGTGTCTCACAGCTTGAAACAAAGAACACTCACCTGTAGGAGGAAATGTTGTAAATACAGATTTCCAACCAGGCTCAGAGGGTCTTGTCCAACTCCAGACACTCACCAAGTGGGGATATATAATCTTGGAAGGACACCATGGACTAAGGAAGAATCTGGGACACCAACACCCACTGAGAGTTTCCTCCTGGGCTCCCATGGCCAGTGACACAGCCTGCCAGTGTAGAACGACGGTATACTTCATGTATCTCCCACCAGCTGGGTGGGAAGCCGGGCCAGCCTCTGAGCCCTAGTCCATTGCAGGCCCTTAGAGCAAAAGAAAATCCTGATTCTCCCTTATCCATGAGTATTTCCTCACTGCAGCTCTGGTTTGGAACAAGAACAGACAGGAATCCTCAGGTACTACAATAGGGCCCTGGTTTCCTTTGTTTCCCAAGTTTCCCTGGTTTCCCAAGTTACAACTTGGCCTGACAGTAGGTTCTATGTAGCTGTTAACTTTCTTTTTTTTTTAAAGATTTTATTTATTTGACTGAGAGAGACACACTGAGAGACGGAACACAAGCAGGGGGAGTGGGAGAGGGAGAAGCAGGCTTCCCACTGAGCAGGATCCCGATGTGGGGCTCGATCCCAGAACCCCAGGATCATGACCTAATCTGAAGGCAGACACTTAACGACTGAGCTACCCAGGCGCCCCAACTTTCTTTTTTTTTAAAGATTTAATCTTTCTGACAGAGAGAGGGAGAGGGAGAAAGAGAAAGGGACAGAGAGAACAAGCAGGAGGAGCAGGAGAGGGAGAAGCAGACTGACTCTCCGCTGAGCAGGGAGTCCAATGCTGGGCTTGATCCCAGGACCCCAGGATCATGACCTGAGCAGAAGACAGATGCTTAACTTCATAGAACACAAAAACATGTTCTCCTATGTAGAGAAATGTGCTAATATCAAGAGGGAGGCAGGGAGCCTGGGTGGCTTAGTCATTAAGCATCTGCCTTCAGCTCGGGTCATGATGCCAGCATCCCGAGAGCGAGGCCCTGCTCGGCGGGAAGCTCGCTACTCCCTCTCCCACTCACCCTGCTTGTGTTCCTGCTCTCGCTATCTATCTGTCAAAATAAATAAATAAAATCTTTTAAAAAAATAAGAATGAGGGACAGACATGAGTTCTATAATGGCACACAGAATCCTATTTTCTAAAACACTAACTTAGCATATGCCCGAGGATTGGTGATTCTGTTCTATACACAAACAAGTAATGCTGAGAACAGCTCTTAAAAGGAAGACAGCAAAGAGTCAAGTGTAGAGTGCGGCTCTTTATAGACATGCACTTGGGAAATTCCAGTGCCATCTTGAGACACCTACCACACAGTAATAGTTGTCTATCAGACACTGGTAAGTCCTGTGGTGACCGTGTCTTAGGAAGATACTTATGAAGGAAGGAATCTCTAAGTAGACCCAGGCTTTCTGCAACCAGAGGGACAGAAGCCATGGTGCACAGGTTCCCTCCCCCATAATCACATCTATCAAGCTCTCTCTGGGGTGAGTGGGCCTTCCCAAGCTTCACTGGAAATCCTGTAGTTTCATCTGCTAAATCTGGAGACCTGATCAGGGGATCTAGCACCCCTCTCTGGGCTGACTCCCCACCCCCAGCTCTGCCCAGAATAGCCCTGGGGAGGGAAGCCAAGTAACAGGAAGAGAGTCCCCAGACCCGCAGCTGGACCTGAGTCACGGCCCTCACCTCACTCTCTTCCACATCATTGCTGAGCACAAAAGCTTCCAGGCCGAACTACAGTGTCTCATCTTGCTGGGACCAAGGGACAGACCTGGGGCTTCCTGAGAGGGACCTGGGGACAGCCAGGATCTGGAGGGACCATCAACTCAGACACTGGCCAGAACAAGTTTCCTGGGAAGCCATGAGAGACTTATACTCCAGGAACTTCTTGCCCTTTAAAGCCCACATTAAATAATGTCCACCCCATTCCTAGAGCTCAGGGACCATTGCACTTAGCCTGAGCAAAGAGCAAATGCTAGAAAATCAGCCCCAACTGAAAAGACTCTAAGGCTGTGGCAGCCTCTCGAAGCTTGCACCCTTGCTGGGAAGGACAGCCCATCCTTTGCCAAACTCACAGCCCAGACAGGCACGTTTAGACCCAGACACATTCCAAACAGGCACAAAAAAAGGCTGAGGCTGGTCATCTGCGACCAAGCCCAACAAGACAGACCTCTATACCAGATTACACCAATGGTCCAGTTAAGCAAGACTCCAGGGTTGGGATAAGCCCCCTGCCCTCGCCCTCGCTCCCCTGCAGCCTCACAGACCCTCGGTTGAAGACAAGGGTGTATATCCTCTGGGAGTAGTTCAGGTGCTGTCTCCGAGAGCCCACACTCTCATCCACAGAGTTTCACGGCTCAGTTTGACAGTGGTTGGATGCGGGCTTCAAGAGTCTGCCATGAGCCTTCTACATAGGGAGGGGATAAGCCATCCGAGGGAAGAGAGGAAAGAGGGTTATTCTCAGCAAGTAGTAATGGTCACCTCCTAACAAGCATCTACCAAATGCCTGGTATGCGGCAACCATAGTTCCATTTATTCCTGAATGGTCCGAGAAGTGTTTGCTATACCCATTTTATAGGTGAGATGATGGAGGCTCAGAGAGGTGGTTGAACTTCAGTTCTCCTACCCTGGTCTCACCTACCAAATGGGTGCACACCTGTCCTACCAAGGGCCCGACACAATGGAACAAGGGGCTCACACTCTGCCCTCCTTAGGCAATCCTCAGGGGTCCACAGTCCACTCCCACCACGGCTACACACACCAGGCTGAGACTCACCTCCAGTACCTGGAGGGTCACCTACAGGTGCTGTGGGGTATGGGGTGGGGGTCCCAGAGGAGGGTGTCATTTGGAGAGCTCTGTGGGGTCCATGATGGCTGCAGCAGAAGTGTTCGCCTCCTCCCCGAGGAGCAGCCTTGGCTGGATGACTGCCAAGGAAGGGGCTTATAGGTCAAGGCAGACTGGTGGGTTCCCCCAGCCAGAATGAAGGGCAAGCCCTGGGCAAGCTCCCCCGGGGGAGGCAATGGCAGTGGGAAGGCCAAGGAGAAGCTGCTAAATAAATAAGCTTGATCAGCACTGAGTATCATCATAGCTGCCATAGGGGCAAATTCATACATGCTATGTGAACTGCACAACCACTTCTGTTTTACAGATGTGGACACTGAGGCAGGAAGTCCTATTACCATCTGCCCAAGGTGCTTACATGCACTATCAGCTGCAGAACTCAGATTCAAAATCCCAAGCCAGGACTCTTCTGGAAATATTTAATGGTTGAAGTTTTTATACGGCAAGACTCAGAAGATATCAAACAGCATTAAAATGAAAGCTGAGTTTACCTTTACCCTCTCTACCAGAAACTTCTTTTCATCTGTGTGAGCAACTGCTTAAAAGCCCACTTACCCCTGCATGGCCCCCAGTGAATTTTTTTTACCATTTGGGCTGACCACATTGCCACACTGTCTCAGGAGGGATCATCTCGACCCAGGGGGCCTCGGGAAGACCAAAGATGAGAAAGGAGTTTTAGGGATTTATGTGTGTGTGTATTTAAGAATTTAAGGTATTT